TGCCTCAAGGCTCCTTGGGGAGGAGGACCTCAAATGTGTGTGTGTGTGTGTGTGTGTGTGTGTGTCCCTGTGTGTTCTGCCTGGCAGGGGACAGGATCTCTCCTTGTCTATCAGAGACTGAGATGTGGCTAGATCCAGGACTCCTGCTCCTCTGCTGCATGTGTGTCTGTATGCGTGTGTATGGGCATGATGTGTGTGCTCCATGTGCTCATGTCTGCTCTGTGCAGGTACCTCTGGCCGGGTCTCCAGGTGTGCAGCATGTATTCACATGTCAGTGTGCTTTTGTGTACACAGGAGCACTCATTTGTCTGAGTCTTGGGGTGTGTAACATGCATAGTCCTGGCCTGATGGGGGTTTTCCTGCCGTCTTGGGTGAGGCCCAGCCCCACATACAGCTCCACTGTTGGCTCCAAGACAACGGAATTTTTGTCTGTTTTGTTCCCTGTTCTGTCCCAGCACTTAGAAGAAGGACTGGCACACAGTAGGGTCCAGGACTACTCATGAATGAATGCATGAAATTGTGCATTCAGGTCTGCTGTGTGTCCGCGTGCCTACGCGTGTGTGGACGTGTGTGTGCTCCTGTGTCCAAGGGTGCACCTGTTTTTGGATGATGTTGCCCCTACACCACTCCTCCTGACTCTTTTCCAAACTCTTTGGGAGCCAGGGCCCAATGCTTGGGTCCCTGTGGGCGGAGCAGGGGGCCGCCTCCTCAGGGGAAACTGGATCCCAGGACGTGCAGAGCAGCAGGGAGCAGGGCGGCCCCTTTGTCCCCCATAATCCCCTCCCCGCCCTTGCCCCCTCCTTCTCAGCCACCAAGGTTTAAGGTTGAGTTTGGGGTTTGTAGGGGTCCAGGGTGTCACCTCAGTCTCCTCATCCCTGTCTATTTCCTGCATGGGAGTCTTCTGTACCCTGAGCCCCAGGCCACTTGGCCTGAAATATATACCCTCTTCTGGGTCCCTCTCAAACCTCTCCTTGTCCTGTCCCCTAACTGGGTCTGCCTCATTCTTTGCCAGGACCCTGTTCCTGCCCGCCCCCTCTCTCCAGGGTGTACTCCCTCCTCCCTCCTGGGCGGCTCCAGGGCACAGATCTAGGTATAAAGCTACCTGAGGGACAGGAGGACAGGTGCCCTGGAAAGACCCAGAAATTGCAGAAAGGAAGGAGCCAAGGAGAGAGCATGAGCTGTCGCGTGGGTGAGTGAGGGGACTGAGCACCAGGACCCGGAGGCCAGGAGGGATGGGGGCCCTCTCTGGCTGCTCTGACTCATGTGCCTAGTGACTTTGCACTTGCTGGAAACCTCCAAATCCTTATACATAGAAGGCTTCATTCCTCATTCATTCAACAAATATTTACTGAGTGCCTATTATATGTGAAGTATAGTCATCCCTTGTTATCTATGGAGGGTTGGTTCCAGGACCCCCCAGAGGATATTAAAATCTGAGAATACTCAAGTCCCTTATATAAAAAGGCACGATATATTGAGCTGAGGTTGTAGTTCAGTGGTAGAGTGTTTGCCTAGCACATGTAAGGCACTGGGTTCGATCCTCAGCACCACATAAACATAAATAAATTAAATAAGCTTTTTTAAAAAGGCGTGATACTTGCATGTAGTTTACACAATTCTCCTATATACTTCACATCATCTCTAGATAACTTATAATTAATACAATATAAATGTCATGTAAATAGTCATTTTATAGTTTAAGGAATAATGACAAGGAAAAAAAAAAGTCTGTTCATGTTCAGTTTAGATGAAATTTTCTATCTGCAGTTGATTGAATATGTGGCTACAGATCCTGCAAATACAGAGGGCTGACTGTGCTGTCCTAAGCATTTGGGAATAGAACCAGTGATCAGACAAAAACCTGTGGCCTGGGATGGGGATGTAGCTCAGTGGTAGAGCTGTGGTCGGTCACTCACGAGGCCCTGAGTTCTATCCCCAGCACCACAAAAGCAAAACAACAATAATACCCACCCATGACTGCATTCATTCATTCATTTGTTCACCAAATATTTAGTAGTGAGAACCAGCAATGAATGAACCAGGTGAGGTTTCCTCTTGCCTAGAGCTGTCATGCTGGTGGAAGAGACAGCAATAAGTCAGTTAAAAAACAAATGAGATAACTTCCAATTAAAAAACAAACAAGAAAACAAACAAACTCTCAGGGAGTTGGCAGGACTTTGGGGATGGTGGCCAGGACAGTTTATCTGAGCTGGGGCCTGAGGAACAGGAAGGAGATGACCTTGGGAGGGTTTTGGGGGTGGTCCCCACAGGGAATGTGACAGAACATAAAGAAGGCCAGTTCAGGGGGAATAAGCCTTTGCAGAACACACTGAGGACTTTTTTTTTTTTTTAGTTGTAGATGGACCTTTATTTTATTTATTTATATGTGATTCTGAGAATCAAACCCAGGGCCTCACACATACTAGGCAAGCACTCTGCCACTGGGCTACAACCCCTGACCCACACTGAGGACTTTTATTTTTACTCTGAGTGAGGTGGGAGCCCATGGGAATGCTAGAGAGGGTTTGAACATAGTCGGGCCTGGGGGTCTGCAGAAGCAGAAGCCAGGGTAGAAGCTGATACTGGGGAAGAAGCAAGAGACGATGTGGAAGCTTGGACATATACAGCTCAATATATTCTCACAAAGTGAGTGTATACCTTATAATGAACATTCAGATTAAGAAACAAAAAACTTGGGGCTGGGGTTGTGGCTCGGTGGCAGAGCGCTTGCCTAGCATGTGTGAGGCCCTGGGTTCAATTCTCAGCACCGCATATAAATAAATAAAATAAAGAACCATTGACAACTAAAAATATATATTAAAAAAGAAAAAAGAAACTTGCACTGCCTGTTTTACTCTTCTCTCTTCTATTCCTCTCCTTACCCCAACCTCCTCCTCCTTCCCCCCGCCGCCCGCCTTCCATTACTGGAACTGAACCCAGGGCCACTCTATCACTGAGCTACATCCCTAGCACTTTCTGTTTTGAGACAGGATCTCACTAAGTTGTCTAGGCTGGCCTCCTTGAGGAAGAAGAAGTGGTCAGATTCTGGATATACTGTTTCATCTTTTAAAAGTTTTTACTGAAAGTAACAAATATACAAAAAGGTTCATGTTATAAGTATACAGCTCAATTAATTCTCATACAGTGAAGATGTACCTTGTAATGGGCGCCCAGCTTTCACCTGCTACTTATACTAAAATTGGAATGATACAGAAAAAATTAACATGACCCTTGTGTAAGGATGACACACATATTTGTAAAGCATTCCATATTTTATTGTTTATTTATTTAGATATTAGGGACTGAATCCAGGGGCACTTAACCACTAAGCCATATCCCCAGCCCTTTTTAAATTTTTTTTATTTTGAGACAGGATCTCACTAGGTTGCCTAATGCCTCAGTAAATTGCTGAGGCTGGCTTTGAACCTGTGATCCTCCTGCTTCAGCCTCCTGAGCCACTGGGATTACAGGAGTGTGCCACCACACCTGGCACATTCCATATTTAAAAATACAAAACCAAAAAAATCCTTGCCTTGGCTACCTTGTAAGGACAGAACCAACAGGATTTGGATGTGTAGAGTAAGAAAAAATGAGGTCTTAAAGAGGACCCCACAATTTGGGCCTGAGCAACTGGAAGAATGCTGGAGGGAGATAAATCTAGAATTGAGTATTGGGTATTCTGAGTTTAAGTTGCTTACTAATATCCAGGGAAAATGTCAAGTAGGAAGTTGAATATATGGGTTTTGGAGTTCAAGGGAAGTTCAAGTGGAGTTCTTAGCTGGAAATAATCTACCTATAGGGCAATTCTGCAAGCCCTAATTTCACAGGATATGACAGTCACTGAGGGTTCTGTTGAAGAAGTTTTAGGATGAATAAATGAATTTGTAGGCAGGGTCAGGGATTTGGTGCTGACCTCTGATTTCCTCTGCCAGCCCCGCTCTGTCTACTGAGCCTACTATTGCCACCCCTCAGTCCCGCAGCCCCCATCTCCCCAGCTGAGCCCATCAGTCAAGCCTATAGCCTGGCCCTCTACATGCAGAAGAATACATCAACACTGCTGCAGACCTATGTGAGTGATACCGGGCACAAGCAGGGGATGAGGGGAGAGGGATACTACCCTGGGTAGGGGAAGCAGAGCAAGCTCAGGAGTATTCTCTTCAGTGGGTCCAAGGGCACAGGGGCCCTGTTAACTAGAGACATACTCAAGCGTTGTCACAGATGGCTGGGTGAGCTTGAGCAAGCGATCCTTCCTCTCTTGGTCTCAGCTTCCTCATCTGCAAAATGGGATGGTAATACCACCTTTGGTGACCTTTCAGGATTGTTACACAGTCAAAGGAAGCACTTAGAAGGAAGGATTTACATAATCAGGGTGATTTCCATAACCACCTCATGCCATGTGCTCACTTGGGCTCTATGCCATCAATTCCTCAAGCCATCCTGACTGGTGGAATTAGAATGCATTTTACAGATGAGCAAACTGAGTCCTAGAGGGGATAAATAATTTGCCCAAGGGCACAGAGCTAAAAACTGGTAGTGCCAGGATCCAAAACCAGGTCTATGGAATTCCATACCACAACCCTCCACCCCTTACCCCCACCCCACCATATAGAAACAAAATTGGCAGCCTGCTTGCTGGTTCTGACCATGTGTTGTCAGACAAAAGTGGCCGCCTAAAACGCAGGGATCCTGTAGACCAAAACTTCCATCCTCCATCTTACTCCTGCTTTTTTCCCCAAAATTACACGACATGCCTGGCTCTGGTGAGTCCTGGAGTTTACAATTCTTCCAGGCTCTTATGAATTCCACAATTTAGGTTCTAGTACCATATGTGTCTCTATTCCCTGGACAGTCTTGGGCATCTTGAGACTCAGTTTCTCCATCTATACAATGAAGATGTGGAACTAAGTTATATGTCAATTAGGAGCTCTATCAGTATGCATTAAGATTCTGTGGGTCTTGTTTTGTGGGGGGTCAGAACTTTGATGGAGAAAACTCTCAACTACATTAAACAACATTAACAATTATTTATTAGTGATCATAATAAAATTAACAAACATAAGCAATTAAATACCATAAATAAAAAGATTAAACCGTAACTACATTGTCAGTAATATACTTAGATTGAACATATTTTTAAAAAATAGTCACAGAGTTCATTAATATCTATATATTATTGGTTAATGATGACTTTTTAATTCCTTTATTGTATCTCAGGTGCTGTTTATATATCTATATATGTATGCATATACATATATAAATTTTCCATCATCTTCACATAACATTGTTACATGGGAGTTACAGAAGCTTGTGATTTGATGTCATATAGATAGTACATGGAAGATGACCAATTGGAACCTAAAAAGGCTCTCGATCTGTATTAGGACATCCTACCAGCTCCCTGAAGGGTGGTGAATGGTGGATTCTCCTGGGAAGATGCCAGTCTCAGAGTGCAGATGTGGAGTCAGCACCATACATCCCTTTGGTCCCCTTACCTCTGTCTCTCTCTGTCCCGCATACAGCTCCAGCACCAGGGCAGCCCCTTTAGTGACCCTGGCTTCTCAGCCCCTGAGCTGCAGCTCAGCAGCCTGCCTTCTGCTGCTGTCCCCTTCAAGACCTGGCATGCCCTGGATGATGGGGAGAGATTGAACCGTGCCCAGGGAGCCTTCCTGGCCTTGACCCAGCACCTGCAGCTCGTGGGAGACGACCAGAGTGACCTAAATCCTGGCAGTCCCATCCTCCTGGCCCAACTTGGAGCTGCAAGACTCAGGGCCCAAGGCCTGTTGGGCAATATGGCTGCCATCATGACTGCCCTGGGGCTGCCTATTCCCCCAGAAGAGGACACTCTGGGGCTTGTTACCTTTGGGGCCTCAGCCTTTGAGAGAAAATGTCGAGGCTATGTAGTGACCCGGGAATATGGCCACTGGACAGATCGAGCTGTGAGGGACTTGGCTCTACTCAAAGCCAAATACCCAGCATAGAGGAGTGGGGCTTCCTGTCAGAGGCTGCAACACTTCCTCTTTCACAATGGACTCTTTTTTGCCTTGCTTTTGGGATAGAGAAGGAGCTACAACTTCTCTAGAGACCAGGGTTTGTGTGCCATGTTTTGGAGAATATTATCTGGATACCAGGCCTCCATTCCTTATTGCCTATGACCTCCCTTCCAGAACTAGTTGGGTCTCCATAGGTCCTATTTCATGGATTCCAATCCAGTGGTACTTGTTTTCCTACTTCTTAGTTGGAAAGAAGAGCCCCTTGAAGAGGCTTTACCTCCTACTCTAGGGAGAGGACAGTTGGTCTCCTTCCTGGGCTCTCCTTGAGACTTTCTCCTTTCTATAATTGGAGGAAGTTCAGGGATTGTCTTCCTGTCTCTGTCTACCTCCATTTCTGTGTGACAATATGACCTTTCTGAGATAGCTCTCTCTTCTTGCTGGAGTTCATTTCCTCTCCTGATTTGCCTGTCTGGGCCATTGTTCCACTTTATCTCCAAATGGGTTTCACTTCCTGATCAATGGAAGTAGAATTCTGGAAAAACTAAGGACTCATGTCACATCACATCTGTTTCCTGCTCAGGGCACTTTCACTTCCTGTTTTGGGCTGACAGGTGGTATCCCTGTCCTGGGGTTTTTGTGAATCTCCTATGCAGACTGTGCCTTTGGGGTATGTGTGGGGGATCAGTTTGTACCCCAAGGACCCTATTCTTCTCAAAGTTGTCTCTCCATTTTCAACAACTGTATATACAGGTAACTTTAGTTTTATTTTTTAACTTTTTATTTACAAAAAAAATAATTTATTCTCAAATAAAACTCTTTTAAGGCATTATGTGAGGTTTTTTTTTTTTTTCCTCTTCACAGACCTGGCTTGAGAGGTGAGGGTTGTACTATCCCTGCACAGGGCAGGGCAAAGTGAAGGGAGAAGGGGAAGGGCCCAGAGGGATGGGGTGGGGACAATGAGGGCAGCAGTTGGGATGACCCTGGGGGAGGGTGTCTGAAATTTGTTTGCAGTAGCCTACCCACCACAGGACCAACAGGCACATTCCTGGTCAAGAAAGGACAAAACTGAGGGAGAGCGACAAGGTGTGGCCTCCTTGAGATGAGGCTCAGATGTACACATGATCACGTGGGGCCACAGGGAGATGGAAAACAGACCCAGAGATCCCCAGAGATGGGTAAAGGGGAGACCTAAAGAGACTGAGGCAGGCCCAAGGATGGAGAAAAAGAGAGGGGAAGCGAGAAAATGGGGGACACAGCAAAGTTCCTTGGGCAGACAAGGAGGACCAGAAAGAGAAGAGGTACAGAGTCAGAGCAAGGGGACAGTTCGCAGAGACACTGACAGACACGGGGAGAGACAGAAGTGAAGACAAACATGGAGAAGGAACCTGATGGAGAGGAGGCGACAACGCGAAGTCGCCCCCGTGCGCGCGCTCACGCGGGCCCCTCGGGCACCAGCTGGCTCAGGTCGCCCTCGGTGCGGCTCACCCACTCGCTGTAGAGGCCGCACACCCGGAGCCCCAGCATCTTGGCCGGGAAGACCCCTGCAGCGCTGGTGGTGGTGGTGGTGGTGGCGGCGGTGGCTGCAGCCGCGGCGTTAGTAGCGGAGGGCTCCGGCCAGGGACCGCGGGCGGTGGAGCCCAGCGCAGCTAGCACGGTCTCCACGGCGGCGCCCAAGGCTCGAGCCTGGCGCGCAGCGTCCTCTAGGCGCCGCAGCAGGCGCGGCACGCGCGGGTTCAGCTCGGCCTGGTGGCGGCGCACGACGTCGAGCAGCGGGGGCAGCGCGGCCAGCGCCGCCGCGTCCAGCCGCAGCCGCTCGGGCAACGGCAGTCCCGCGTGGCCCGGGGCCGGGGCGCTCAGGCCGGCAACTGGCAGCCGCGGCGGCGAGAAGCCCGGCAGCCCGAAGGGATCTCCCTGGTGCTGCACCTGCGGAAACACGGGCGCGGTCAGCGGTCAGCGCGGGGCGGGCAGGGTGGAGGGGACCCGTCGGGGGGGGGCGGGGTGCTGTGGCCAGCGCCGGGGGTTCCTCGAGTCCTAGCGGAGACCTCGACCTTCTCCTAGGACGTCTGTTTCCTCATCCTGCAAATAATTCCCTCCTAATGGGGCCGTTGTGTTTGAAACAAAACAAACAAAAAAAGGAAGGGTTTACACCAGGGCCTTTGTTTTCTGCCTCTAATATGGAACCAGTAATAATATCAACTTCATAAGGTAGTTATGAGCATATAAAGTGCTAAAGACAAGGCCTGGCCTCCAGGAAGGGTTCAGTAAATGTTAGATGTTTCATTAATATTACCTTAAAAGATCAGGGTTCAAATCTTGTCTCTGCTGTGCCTTTTTGGGCAACAGTTTCCCTTCTCTGAGCCTCAGTTTTCTCATTCATAATATGGGGGAACAGCTCTCTGTCCTAACCTTCCTCATCTCCCTCACCACATTGAAGCTAGGGCTTCCTGCATGCTAGGCAAGTACTCTATCACTGAGCTGCAACTGCAGCCCTTTTTATTTTAAGACAGTTTTGCTAACTTGTGAGGCTGGTCTCAATCTTGGGATCCTCCTGCCTTCGTCTCTCAAGTTGCACAACTAGGCCCAGCTCCCCTGTCCTGTCTTTCTACCGTGGTTCTCTCAAAAATTAGAGGTACTCAGTGGATTTCACTCTCTTCTCCCATCCTCCCAACCTCTGTACCTGCAGGTATTCAATGAACAATTTTCATATGAATGAACAAAGATAAAGGTGATTTACAACTTCTCAAATGCAAACATTCCTCTTTTGCAAACATCTTGCCTCTCATTCAAGCTTTGTTTGCTGCTTAAAAACATTATCTTCCCAATATGGGTGTGATGATGATAATAATAATAATGGCTTTGTAAATAAGAGAGTTAAGCTGAAAATAGTGACTAGCTCTGTAACCCACCTAGGAAGTGGCAGAGCTGGAATTTGAATCACAGTTGGTAGGACTACAAAGCTAATTCTATTATTCCACTACCCACTGTCTTACTTGTTTCATTATTATTTTAATGTTATCATTACTGCCCAAGGTCACAAGTGGGTAGGCCTGTTGTTTGTATGATTCAAAACTACAGCCCTGGGCCTGGGGTTGTAGCTGAGTGGTAAAGTAAGTACTTGCCTAGTACACGTGAGGCACTGGGTTCAAGCCTCAGCACCACATAAAAAATAAATAAATAACATAAAGGTTAAAAAAAAAATACTAGGGGCTAGGGGATATAGCTCAGTTGGTAGAGTACTTGTCTTGCAAGCACAAGGCCCTAGGTTCAATCCCCAGCACCAAAAAAACAAAAAAAAAAAAAAAAAAAAAAAAAAAAGAAAGAAAAATACTACAGCCTATTTTCACTACACTAAAGTGGGATTATCTTCTTTCCTTCAGGCCAACCAAAGGTGTTGATAGCTCTGTCTTCTCTGTATCAGCTCCCTCTTGGTCCCTTTGAATATTCTAGGTAGAGGACTTCACAGTCCATCTTTATTTAGTGCCTCCTTTTATGGCCCATGAAGATAAAGGTGACAGGATCACACAGAGCTTAGAATGTAGGTTTCCTGACTCCTAGAGTACCCTTTACTGTCTCAGGCTTTGACTTCAGGCACCAAGGTGTAGTGGCACCCCCTCCTCCACAAAAAAAATCTTAGTTAAGTTTCTCCAGAAATCTTCACCATCATTGATTTTAAGACTATAAACAAGAGTCTTTACAAAAAAGTTCAATGTAGTTAAACTTCCTATTTTCCTGTTGCTCTATTTTACTTGGCCACTGGCTGGAAAAAAATCAGCATTCCAGGTGCTGAACGCCCTTTTACTTGTTTTTCACAAACATATATCCAGTATAGTAGTTTGTAAAAGTGTTTGCAAATACAAAATGTGATTTAAAAAAAAAAAATCATTTAACAAGGTCTTTGACCTTGGGCTGCAGCTTCACAAAGATGTCTACATTTCTAAGATAAGAAAAGTTACCAATTGGGCTCCATGGAAACAGCTGGCAGGGAGAGGAAAGAATGGGGAGAAGTTCTCCTCTTCTCAGGTGTTGTCCTTAAAGGGTTAACTTGCCCAAAACAGTGGGAAAAAAAAACAAAACCTGCTTTTATGTAAACTTCTGAGCACCTCCTCTTACATGCTGGGTATAAAATTCTGAAACTACTTGAACTCGCGATTCAGGCAAAAGCTATGTGCCCTCTGAACCTGGCTGCAGCCAAATAAAACTGTTTCCTGCTATCTTACTTCAGTGCCTTGCCTCATCTGTCCCTACAACAAAGGAGGGGAGGCTCCAATCTGAGGCAGAGGTCATTTGCCTCCTCCATTTGCTCTGTGGCCAGGAGTAGTTTCTGTCTCTCTCAGGAGGTTTGTTTTCCACAGCTGGGAATGAGGTTGAGAAAATAGGTGATAGAGGACCTCTGTGACCTGTGCTTCCCTGTTTCCCAGGCCCAAGGCACCCCCAGCCCCTTTCCCACTCACATATTCCTGGAGCAGCTGCTCTGCATATTTGGTGAGGAGGCGGGCAAGGCTGTGCGTCTGACGGATCTTGGCCTCCAAGTGGGGAAGGAGTGAGATGGAATCGTCAGCCTGGGGGTCTTCTGGTGGGAAAGGGAGGGAGGAATGAGGGCAGCCCAAGCTCCTGCTCCTTGACCACCCAGCCACTCTTCTCTCCTGAACCCAGAAACTCTACTCTGAATGCTCCAGCATTCAGGCCAGGAAAGATCTGTCCCACTCCAAGTGAGGAAAAATGGGGCACTAGACTTTTATCAAATAGTTGCTCTACATGAAATGTGTCCCCTGTCCCCAAATCACTATTGAAATCCCATTAAAACCAACTTTAAATTCTGCCTCCTCTTTGCAGAATCCAGAATCCTTAAATGAACTGCTCCCTTTGACTTCAGGCCATTTGTTCATAATTCCAAGGTAGCTCTCCAACCTGTGTATATCTACCTTAGCCTGGGATGCTTCTGAGAATAGGGCCTTACACATGCCCTGTGACTGTTGGTGGAATTCAACATCCCTGAAGCACAGAACCTCAAATTGGAATGTGACTTTAAGGCCCATTTTACAGATAGGGAGACCATGTCCCATTCCCTCTCTCATGCCCCTACTGGGCAGGGCAGCATCGCCTGAATTTCCCAGACACAAGCCAGAGTGTGGCGCCCAGAAGGACTACGAGTCCCGAGACGCACAGTGCATGCTGGGGAGTGTAGTCCAGGCCCGGCAACTCCCGCCCCGCCCCCGCCTGAGTTTCCCACAACCAGTCCCTATCCTCAGCAGCTTTGACTTTCGAGTCCGGTTGTCACTCACTAGTTCCTGTGGCTCGAAAAATTACTTCCCTAATTCTACTTCTCCCTCCGGCTCCCCAGCTCTGATTCTTTCCCAATAATCAGAGAGGACCTTGGCGCCTGACCCATCCCCGACCCCAGCCCTCCCTCAATGTGCTGTACTCACCGGTGAGACCGGTGATCTAAGCCCTGAGCCCACACCCTGGAGGACTCAGCCCCAGGCCTCCTCTAAACCCTTGCGCCTGCCCTTTCTCCCAACTCACCCGCTCGTTACCTGACACCGGAGCCTGCTTTCCCCCGCCCAGGCCGCTCCCCTCCCGGACCCAGGGGTGGTGAAGACCCAGACCCCAGCTGCCAGCCCTTCTGATTCCTACTCCCTTCGGTGACCCAGCGTCTGGCCCCTCAGCCCCTTACCCAGACTTCCCTCCCTCTGGCTCATGCTGGCCCCTGGCTGATCCCGGTTCCCTCCACGCCCCCCTTCCGAGGGGGGAGAAGGGGAAAGGGGTAGGGGCGTGGCTCGGGCGCAGCCAATCATAGTCCAGACCCCAAACATTCCCCCCGCCCCACCAGCCCTTCTAGGCAAGATTCCTTGGCCCTGAGCTCAGCAACTAGCCTGTGCCGCCTGGTCAGGGAAGGGGCCCCGCCAGGGATGCAGGTAGTCTGACCTGTGGACATTACCTTAAGGCTGGGGGTCTCAAGCCCTGGGAGACAGCCTTGTCTCTGGAAGAGGAGGCTCTGGTTCCCACCTGAAGCGGGGAGGGACGCAAGGGTTGATTTGGGATTAAAGCTTCAAGGACAGGAGAGGGAAGCCGCGGGCTAACAGGAATGTGCAGGCCCTCCCTCTTGACTGGGGCTAGGTGCTAAAGAGGCAGCGGTGGGGGCCGCCGGCTTGAGAAGCACCTTTCCAAACATACACCTCCTGGCCAATCTTAGATGCCTTCCATTCTCCTCATATCTGCCAGGAGGGAAACAAGACACCACCACGCCTCACCTTACCAGGCTCACTAACCAACAGCCCCCCTCCAAGTGTACATGCATCTCCTGGAGAGTTAAGGTATTCAAATGCGCATGCTCAGAGAACAGGTTTCAGAGACCTGTACAGGAGGTCAAGCTCAAACAACAACCTCATTAGTGTGGTGTACACACTGAAATGATTATACACACTTATCCCCACAGCTGATTCCCAAGCATCTACTCTATCCTGGCCTCTGAGTTAGAGAGGATCCATATTTGGTCTCTGGCCCCTTGAGTTCACAGTCTGATGGAGGAGATCATAAACAAGCAGTAACAGAGTTTGTGAGCCAAGGGACTGAGAAGGAGGCCAGCATGCCCTTTCTCCCAACTCACCCGCTCCTTACCTGACACCGGAGGATATTACCATGAGCAGACAATTGCCAAAATAAAGGAGGGTATAGCAGGGGTAGGAGCCAGACTGTTGTCAGGGGTCACAATCACACACTAATCAACAGTTAACATTTACTGGATATTTACTGTCTTCCAAGCACTGTACATACACACATGAAATATGTGTATAAGATACATGTATATGCATGTGTAATGTACATATTACACGTATGTGTATATATATGTATCTACAACATGGGATTAAGATATATATGTATCTAATATGTAAGATGTAAGATATAAGATACATAAGATATATATGTATCTATCACTATCTATCTATCTATAGTTCAGTTCCAGAAATGCTGTCATAACCACCCTCCTAATCCTTTAACCCCTCTGAACATGATCACACCAAAACTCACAGACAAATCTTTGAAATACAAATCCTAAAGCACAGCAACACAGGTTGAGACTTTATCATATCTACTGACTGAGCATCCTCAAATAAAATTAATTGAGACATATTCATATTTTTAAGTAAACTTTTAACTGAACTGTAATAAACATATGAAAAAGTGCACACATAATAAATATATAGTTTAATGACTTTTCAGAGAGTAAATATGCCCCAGGAATATCAATCAGTACCAGATTAAGAAATAGAACACAGCCACTTCCCAGAAGCCCCACTCTTACCCTCTCCCTGTCTGAAGAATGACCACAATCCTGACTTCTCACACCGTAAGTTTGTCTGTTTTTGATCTTCATATATAGAATCATCTAATGGTTACCATTGGATCTCGCTTTTTTTACTCAAGATTTGTCCATGAGACTCTTCTAGGTTGTTGGGTGTAGCAGGACACTGGTCATTCTGCTTGCTGTGTCTAAGTCTATGGTGTGAATAGGTTGTAATCCATTCCAATTATCCTTGTGGGTTGGCATGAAAAATGCCAGTTTTTCAGAGTCTCTCCTAATTTACACTCCTGTAGAAATATAAGGGACATCCAATTGCTCTACTTTTTGCCTAAACTTGGAATGGTATGTCTTTTTCACTTTGGCCATTCTCGTTGGGGAAGACCCACTCGTATTTGCAGTTTCTGACATACACTTGGCACTCAGTTAACAGACTGTTGAATGAATGGATGAGCGAGTAAGTTGAACAGTGTAGACTCAGGCTGGTGAGAACGGAAGCAAGCACACGCGCGCGCGCAAACACAACACCCAGCATTTCAGGGACGCCCACCCGCTGCGGACGCACATCAGGACACAGACCCTCTAGTGCACCCCGGCACCCACGTGGTCTGAACGCACCGCTAGGCCCTGCTGCGCGCGTCTAGTCACCCAGCTGCCCCCAGACTCTCCCTCTGGGCCGCGGGCAGGGGGCGCTGCGAGTCCCGGCGCCCCGAGGGGGCGGGCCCGGGGCGGGGCGGGGCCGGCCCCGCTTCCAGGCCTGGGCTCTGGCCGCCCGCGCCGCCCGGCCGCTCCGGGGACGGGCCGGGGCGGGGCGCGGCAGCAGGAAGCGGGGCGGGGACTCGCGGAGGCGTTGAGGAGCGGGGGAGGGCGCGGCCAACTCCCGGAGGGACCGCAGGCCGAGAGAGCGGCGCCCCGGCGTGGCGCCGAGCCTGAGCCCGCCGGACGGCAGGCGGCCCCGCCGCGGGCTCGGCCCCGGCCCCAGCCCCGGCAGCATGGCCGGCCGCACCGTACGGGCCGAGACCCGGAGCCGGGCCAAGGATGACATCAAGAAGGTGATGGCGACCATCGAGAAGGTCCGGAGATGGTGAGTCCTGCCTCGGTGCCAGGGACGGGACATGGGGTACCACCCCCCCTCGCCAGCCGTGGCCCCTGGCGTTAGGATCCCTCGCCCACCCGCCGTGCGCTGGATCGACTGGGCTCTGTCCTTCTTTCCCTGGCTATTCCCGGGGGTCTACAAAGCGTGATCCCCAGCCGTGCCCTCCTGGAGTGGGAGCCCTCTTCTATGTCCCGCCCCCTAAAGCTTTGACACTCCTCCTGTAAGTATGCTGCGCAATCTTCATAGCCAGGGTTCCCAGCCAGCCCCCGACCACCATGTGTGCCCCAGGGGTCTGCAAGAGCCACGCCCCCTAGTCATACCGTCTGGAATCACTCCCATCTGTGCCCTGGGGTTTGCAGGGCTGCCTTTCTCCCTTTAACTGTACTCCATTAGCGAAACTGCCCCTACCCTAGTGCATCTCCCAAACGTCTGCAGCTACCCCAGCTCTAGAGGGGTGGCTCTCCCCTCATACCTCTCTGACCCAGCTCCCTGTCCTCCACAGGGAGAAGCGCTGGGTGACTGTGGGCGACACTTCCCTTCGTATCTTCAAGTGGGTGCCAGTGGTGGACCCCCAAGAGGAGGTGAGCAAGCCCCCCCCACCAGGCCCTGCATCTGTGCAACCTCAAGCAAGCCCCTCCCCCCTTGGCCTCCACCTTCAGTCCCCACTCTGAGACCTCCAGTGTAGCAGCCCAGACAGATGTTAACGGTTATCAGCAACTCCTCCCCCTTTTCCCTTTTTTCCTGCTCCAGACACCCAAGATCAAGATGTAACCCAATATACGCATTATCTGCCACATCAGGCAGGGACTTTTGCTTTCTCTATGCCTTAGTTTCCTTATTTCTACAGGGGGGGACTTTGCAAGAACTAACTAGAAAGCTGGCTCTGACCTTATCTCTGTAATCCTTAGGAGCGAAGGCGGGCTGGTGGAGGGGCAGAAAGATCCCGTGGCCGGGACCGCAGGGGTAGGGGAGCCAGTCCCCGTGCAGGTGGCCCTCTCATCCTGCTGGATCTCAATGGTATGTAAGGATCATGGAGTTTGGGGAGACTGTGGGGATTGAAGGAGGATACTGGAGGCCTCATGACAACCTTCTTGGCTGTTGCTCCTACAGATGAGAACAGCAACCAGAGTTTCCATTCTGAAGGTTCCCTCCAAAAGGGCACCGAGCCCAGCCCTGGTGGCACCCCTCAGCCTAGCCGCCCTGTTTCACCTGCTGGACCTGCAGAAGGGGTCACAGAGGAAACTCAACCCCCACGACTAGGCCAAGAGAGAGGTAGGACAGTTTGCCTCCAAGGAGCCTCTCCTCTGAGTCCTGTTTTCTCCAAAGTTGAGCCTACCAGCTTAACCCTATACCTCTCCCCCCTACCCCTGCTGCCTCCTGAGGGGGCCTCCTTTCACCCCTGCAGAAACTACCTCTAGCTGCCCTCTTCCTCTCTTGTTTTTTAGGATTTGTTGATAATCATTGTCTGAGATTTTTGTACACATTTAATTCTTTGTTTATTGTTTTTCTTCCTATTCCCATCTCATGTCAGCTTCCTGAATGTTGGGCCCATATTGTTCTTGTTCAGTAATAGGTGCTTAGTAGATTGAGTGAATAAATAATAGTGATAATCACAGGAATGATTAATAATTGTAGGATTAACAACAACTAATATTTATTGAATCCTTTCTGTGTGCCAGGCATCCTTCTAAGCACTTCACATGTTTTTTTTTTTTTTTTCTCATTTAATCATCACTATAATATAGGGTTTATGATCCTGTTAAGATCCCTGTTCATAGAGTAGGAGACTGAGACCCAGAGAAGTTAAGTAAGGTGCCCATGCTCACATACCGTTAAGCCAGCATCCTGAGCTTGAGTGCTCCTCAGCACCTTTGTCTTCCACATAGTCAGTCCCCTTTCTGGTCAAAACACTTCTCATTTTCCCCTCCTTTGCCAGTCCTGCCCAGCTCTGGCCATCTCATCTCACCCATCTCACCCATCCCTGCTCCAGCCTCCACACTGGTCTCCAGCGGTCTCCACACAGCTGCCAGAACAACATTTTCTGAAGCACAAGTTTGACATAGTTATTGTCCTGTTTCTCATCCTTCATAGGTTCCCCATGGCCTTTGATGCCTCTGCTTGATACTTGGGGTCTTCAGGAACTGTTCCCTGCTGACCTCATTGTTCCCTGGCAAGAACTCCACCCCATGGACCTAAGGGCTAGGTCTAGATTGTGCCAAGTACTTTGCTACTATAAAAATTATATGAGACTAGGGGTGTAACTGAGTGGTAGAGCTCTTGTCTAGCATGCAGGAGGCCCTGAATTTGATTCCCAGTGCTGCAAATAAAGAAATTATACCTAGATTTATTGGGCAAATATGCTAAGGGCCTTGCCTGTATTATCTCATTTAATCCTCACAACAATCTCATGTGGTAATTACTGTCATTATCTCCATGAGCAGATGGGTAAACTGAGATCCTGAGAACTTTTTAAGTAGCTTGCTCAAGGTCAGGATTTGAACCTATGCAGTTCAGTTGCAGAATCTGTGCTTATTAAAGTATTTGTGTTAATTGTGTTCTACACCCCACCCCCCACCCCGCCCTGTTTGTCTACCTAATAAAACCATACTCACATTTCAAGGTCCCACCTAAATCTTCCTTCCTCTTTGCATCCTGGATGGCAGCCAGGGGTCTGGCTCTCTCTTGCTGCTCCCGAAGCTCTGGCTTATGTGGTTGGTGCCCGTCTGTGTTTGTTTTGCCCTCTGTGCTACTGGCACAGAGTGGCTGCTCAGGAGATGTGTGTTCACTTGACCTTCTAGATCCCGGGGGCACACCTGCAGGCAGCACTGATGAACCCCCAATGCTGACCAAGGAGGAGCCTGTTCCAGAATTGCTGGAAGCTGAGGTGAGAGCGGCTGGACTCCCCGGTCTTAGAGGGAATGGGAACTCTGGGCGATGGGTGGCTGCATCCTGATGTCCTGGAGGGAGATGTGGACCCAAGGACCCAGCTAAAGGCTTAGAGGCTGGGTTCTTGGGACTGAAAAAGAAGTAGATGAAATCTTGAGGACTGAATTAGGGCTGGTTTAAGACCCTTAAAAGCCTGAAATGATCATGGTGCTTTTCCATGTATATAAAAAAAAAAAAAAAAAAATCCTAGGCTGGGGGTATAGCTCAGTGGTAGAGGGTGTGCTTAGTATGCAGGGGCTCTGGGTTCTATCCCCAGCACCACACACACAAAATGAATGCTAAAACTAGCTTACAAAAGTCCCTCATAAACTTAATTTTTCTCAAAGGACTACCTTTATGCATTTTTTAGAAAGATCAAATTCCCCCAATGTTGCCATTATTTTCGGTGTCCTTCTTAATCTGCATCTTAGTCACCTGGCCCTGGGTCTGGAGGGGAGTGGAGTGGAGGCTTTGGAGAAGGCAGAGGCTAGGAGGCTGTACTCCTGGGTTTGGGTGGAGCTCACGCCTGTCCGCCCTTCCTCTCCAGGCCCCCGAAGCTTACCCCGTCTTTGAGCCAGTGCCACCTGTCCCTGAGGCAGCCCAGGGTGACACAGAGGACTCGGAGGGCGCCCCCCCACTCAAGCGCATCTGCCCAAATGCCCCTGACCCCTGAGAAGCCGGCCTGCCTGTCCTGTTGTCCCAGGGGCCCCTTTGGCTTTTTTCAAATAAAGACCCTTTTGTAATTTTGTGTCATGTCATTTCCCCGTCAGGGCTGGGGAGGGTCTTTGGAGACAGTTTTGTCTCATGCTCCATCCCTCAGATGGGCTCATTGAGGCTCCAAGAGGACCTTCCTATGGTCACACATGATCAGATGTGCAGTGGGGGCTTGAGCCAGGACCCTGCTCCAACACTCCCTTACCCTGCCCTGTCTCCCTTCACTGACTTTCCCTCCCCTTCACCTTCCTCCTCTGGGAATCCCAGGACCCTTCTTCCTGCTCAGGCCTCCCCTGGGCTCAGGAATTGTCACAGTTCTGAGCAGTGAGGTCCGTGATTCCCAGGTCATTCATGGGAACACAGACCCAGATGGATGTAGGGGCCTGGGATGACCCAACTTATTTTTGGCCTCAGGAGGCTGCAGCACTGTGCTTCCCTGCCTTTCTTGAGCCCTTCTTCCACCTGGTACCCCTGGCTACACTTCTACTTGAGTCCTCCATATCCCCAGCTCAATCTCTACCTCCTTCAAGAAGCCGTCCCTCACCCTAGGCTCCATCAGTGTCCCCTTCCTTGAGTTCCCACAACCCCTCAGGCTTTCTTCCCTTTGTTTCAACATTTATTAGGCTTGTTTTGGGTTCATTGGTCTTTGTGTCTGTCTTGTCCACAGGTTGTGGGCACCTTGAGGACAGAACTGGATCCCCAGCCTGGTCTAGCTCAACACTGGGAACAATGTAGTCATAGTAACTGCTTCATGAATAAGTGAATGGTTTGGAGTTGTCCAGGAGGGCTTCTTTAAGGAGGTGGCGTGTGAGAAACCTTGGCTCAAGTCCTGGCTTTGTAATTTATTATTCTTATGGGTCTAGGCAGGTTATTACTATTCTCTGAGGCTTTGTTTGTTCATCTGAGCAATGGGAATAATAATTAGGCCTTCCCTGCCTCAGTGGTTTCTAGGAAACTTCATATCCTATCAGGTCCCTCTGTTTCTGCAAGAGAGATAGGGTCAGATGTATTAGCCCTATTTTTATTTTTATTTTTGGTACCAGGAATTGAACTCAGAGGCGCTGACCACTGTGCCACATCCCCAGCCCTATTTTGTATTTTATTTAGAGACAGGGTCTCACTCAGTTGCTTATACCTCGCTATTGCTGAGGCTGGCTTTGAACTTGCAATCCTCCTGCCTCAGCCTCCCAAGCCGCTGGGATTACAGGCATGTGCCACTGTGCCCAGCCCTTTTTGTTTTGTTTTGTTTTTTTAATTTTATTTTTAGTTGTAGATGGATAATATCTTTGTTTTATTTAGTTATTTATTTTTATGTGGTGCTGAGGATTCAACCCAGTGCCTTACACATGCAAGGCAAGCCCTGTACCACTAAGCTGCAACCCCAGCTCCTTATTTTTAATGAAGGAACAGACCAAGGTTCAGAATGGACCAAATTGGAACTTTTAACAAGCCATTTAAAAATATAAAGGTGTGGGGCTGGGGATACAGCTCAGTTGGAAGAGTACTTGCCTTTCACAAGGCCCTGGGTTCAATTCCCAGCACCAAAAAAAAAAAAAAAAAAAAAAGAAGAAGAAAGAAAGAAGGGTATTTCCTGTAATAATAGTGGAGCCAGAGGTGGCCAGGGGAGCGAGGCATGCAGTGATGTGACATATTTGTTTCTATTGCTGTTGTAACAAGTTACTACAGACAGTGGTTAAAGCCACAAATTTATTACCTTACAGTTCTGGAGGTCAGATGTCCAAAAGTAGACATACTGTGCTAAAGTCAAGGTGTCCACAGGGCTGGTTCTTCCCACAGGCTATCAGGGATAATCTGTATTCTTGACTTTTCCAGCTTCTAGAGGCTTCTGTATTCCTTGGCTTGTGGCTTTTCCCTTCTTCAGCTCAGCAGCATGGCATCCTCTAATCTCTCTCTCTTTCTTCCATCATTTCATCTCCTCCTCTGAACTTTGTGCCTCCCTCTTATAAGGCCCCTTGTGATGACTTGGGTCCACCCAGACAGTCCAGGATGCTCTCCCTTTCTCCAAATCCTGAATTTCACCAATCTGCAAAATTCTAATTGCCATGTGAAGTAACACACAGATTCTGGGGCTTAGGATATGGACACCTCAGGAGGGTCATTATTGAACCTACCATATGTGGTAATCTCAGCCATTTTCTGGGTGTGTGAGTCATGTCATTACGCCCTCAATGATCCCGTGAGGTGATATGAGTGCTCTGTAAACTCTAAAGTACCTTGTGTGGTTAGTGGTACAGTGTTAAGGCCCAGAAATCAAATTCTGGGGTTAAATCTCAGCATCTGCATTCATTTGCTATGTAACCTTAACCAAGTGACTTAACCTTGTTCTCATTTGCCTCAGTTTTCTCTTCTGTAAAATGGAATAACCATAATGCCAGCCTGGTGAGACTTCTGAGGATTAAATGACACAATTCCTGGAGAGAGAGTCATTGGCTTAGTACATAGTAAATGCTCAATCATTGGCAGTTGTTTTTCCTGTTACCCCATTTTACTGATAAGGACACTAAGGTCTGGGGAGATACCATAGACTTGCCCACAAGTGAGGCTAAAGAAGAATTTTGGTTTTGGATAGGATGTCCATTTCTGAGTATACTAGAGAAGCTAAAGTTTGAGTCTGCCCATTCCTGTCCATCACCTGGACACAGGCTCTAGGCAAGTGTCCCCAACCCAGACCTGCCCCCACTTTCTCTGTGGCTAATTCCTAACCTCTTCTATAAGACACTTCTCCCATGTCACAACTCTGATTTAAGACTGGCTGTGTTCTCCCCATCCCCTACCCATGTTCACACTTTCCTTCTGGAAGTTCTTCCACCCTAAGTCTTGGGCTCTGGCCTCCAGTGCTCTCCCCTTTTCTGCTCTGGGTCCTGTCCATCCTTAGTCTCTTTCCTCTTCCTGATCTTTAGTGTCTGTTGCCCTACCTTAGTTCTTCTGTTCCTGAATATTCTCCTGCAATGCCCCACCTTTTTTTTTTTTATTTAATATTTAGTTTTACTTGTAGGTGAATATCTTTTTATGTGGTGTTGAGGATCAAATCCAGTGCCTCATGCATGCTAGGTGAGCTCTCTACCTCTGAGCCACAACCTCAGCTCCTAACCTTCTTTTTCAGTTAGTGTTTCCTAATTCCCTGCCTTCAAGTTCTGCCCCCAATCTCCAGACTCAAAAAATTAAATAGCTTGCAACACTTCACTTCATGTCCAAAACACCCTCAGCCTCATCTCCCCATCAACCATTCCCACTGTCTCTTGTACCCTTAAATGGCTCCCTGGCCCCAGGAGTCTGAGTCCACTTCCCTGAGCCATCATGTCCTAAGTCTTTGTCTTAAATGATTCTCCAGTTGACCCCCTTCTCCAGAGCCACACTGCTTTACTTCCTTCGAGTGCCAACAAATCAATGTAACAACTTCCTGGTGGGTTTCCCTGCTTGCCCATGTCCAGTTGGCAGTGGGCAACCCTTCAGAAGCCCACATCTGCCCATGATGCTGGCCCTGGCCAAAACCTTCCAGTGCTCATTACCTGCATGCTAGAGTTCATGCTCTGCTGCTTCCACCCAACCCCAGCTACCCTCTGAACTGCTTATAATCACCCCAAAATGTCTTACCTCTTGGGTGTTGCTCATGCTCTTTGCTTTGCCAGGAGCGTTCTGCTTGCCCCTCTGCTCTTCACCTGGAAGATGTCTTCTTGATTTTCAAATCACAGTTTCCTGGTGGCATCTTTTCTCCTTTTGATCATGCCCACCCCCCTCCTGTTCTTCCTTTGCATGGTGTCCCAGGAATTGCCTCACAATGGTCTGTGTCTGCTCACATTTTCAGCACCTCCTTCAGGAGGGCAGAGGAATTTCTTTGAATCAGTGACATAAATGTTGTGTACTTACTGTTTTCTGGGCCCTATTCTAGGCCCTGAGGGTACAGCATAAAGAAATCAGAGGGCTGGCAGTATAGCTCAGTAGTAGAGCACTTGCCTAGCATGTACCCATCCCCAATACTGCAAAAATGAACAAACAAAAAAACAAACAGAAAAAAATCCCTGCCCTCATGGAGCCTACTTTTAGTAAATTGTGTTCTGAGTAGGAAGTTATGCATATAATCATGGGGGCTTAAGGACAGGGATAGGTTCTGAGAAATGTATTTGAGGCAATTCCATCATTGTGCGACATCAGAGAATGTATTTACACAAGCTAAGATGACTATGATGTCATGAGATGATATCAACTTTTGGGACCACCATAGTA